CAAAGGAATTTTTCCTACACATCCCTCAATATACTGATACTGATACTGAACTAAATGTAAGCGCGTGTGTATAGAGAGAGGCACAGTTCAGAATAGGCCTGACACGAATTTGCGGGGGAGTAAGTGCACTCAAAAACAGCCCCGTACCTTCGAATTACTGATTATGTTGGCGGGAAATGGTAAAAAAAAACTTTATTTTAAAAAATATTTACCAATGGGATGTTCAGGAAACACAAAAAATAAACGGAAACACTGATATAAGCCAACACACATGCTGGTACCGGATGCCAGCGATGTTGAGACAAATGTTCTATGGTTGCATCCAGCCGCATCTAAAAAAGGCTCGATTCAATTCGTTTAGATATCACAAGCACAGATTTAGTATACAAAGAAAACAGGAACACCACATTAAACTGCAGTGCGTAAGCCTTCTTTATGTTGATTAAAGGGATTTTGTAGAAGACATTTTCGTGAAGGTTGGAGGACTTTTACAGTAACGAAATCGGTCAAATTATCTAGGCTTAGTTAACACAGCTGTTCCTTAATTGTGTTTAACACTTTTAGAGACGGAAATAATAATAGTAGGGAAGCTGCGGACTCGGACCTAATTATTCCTCAGGGGAAATTTCTTTAAAGCTTTGAAAACATTGGGAACTTAAATTTTTGTCGTAGCGCGTAGTTTGACATTTTGAGCTACTGGTGGGCTTTTCCTGTGGACCAGCGGGTCATGTTCTGACTTAATGTCTAAAGTGATTTTTCTGCTTTACTCCTGAATAGCTGTTCCTACAGAAGGAAGTTAGTTAATTTCACTAGGCATCCACCACACCAGAACGAAATTTCGCTCATTCCGACATCAAATTTGATATCGATCGCAACACGATTAATCGTGTTTTTGTGAAAATATTAAGTATTTTTCTAAAGTACCTTACGTCCTCCTCCGTAGAACGTTATTTAACACCTCTTAATGGTTCCATGCCGCAAGTTTTGTAGTCTTCTAAATGGCAGTTTTGGAGGGCCTGTTCTTTACGTTTATGTTCGTTTCGGTTTTGCTTACGTCCTTTCTGTTCAATAGTACAGAAATACTTGCCAGTACATTTTATAAATCCAATAGAAATTGACCTCTCACCGGGTAGGGGATTCATTCTAGCCCCAGAACGATGCAGATTATGTTAATCAAGACTGCGCAAAAGCGTCCTCGTGTCACATTCCCCCATCTTTGCCGGCGTTCACGTGATAAGAATGGCAAGCCGTGTCGGCGGCTTTATTAGAAATAGAAACTTTAAACTACTTATCCTAACCAACGTACTTGAAGAGCTACTATTGTTATATACATTGGGTTTGAGCATCGTTATTCCAACAAACCTTGTGAAAAAGACTATTTGCTGAATGATGCCTTGGCCGAGCTATGCTCAAGAACGTTTTTATGAGACCAGAATAATTGTTAAAAATCAAAACAATAAAACGTCTTTCTTAGCAGTTTGTTGTTCCGGGGTAACGCAACGGGCAAACTTCTAAAGACAACCGCCCCCTGAGGACCTTTCAATCTTGCGTCTTTCATCTACCACTCATTTTACCTCGACAGAAACATATATGCTTCCGGAACCAGAACTTCCTTGACAGTCTCTAACTGGCTGCATTTCATACTGCTGCTTTTAGTTGTGGAAGCGATTTTGCCAAATTTCGATAGCTTTTGGTCTTAGCCCACATGTGGTAGCAATCACGGGCATGCTCTATTAAATGTGTACACATTTATCTGTGGGTGGCCCTGCTCTCATCAGAAACGACGGGTGTGATATGCAATGTAGGCTCCTACCTCAATTTCTCTTAATGTCGTTCATGTATATTCTTGACATATCAATTTATATGATTTAACTTGAATTACTTGATAGTCCATAGTAAGTTTTTACTGCACCTTAAACCTAGTAATAATGAAATTAACTCAAAGTTATATAACTCCTGCGACCAGGATATTTTAGTTCCGCATCAGTCACCTGAATAGATTTTTAGTAAGTGTTCACCACATTGACGTCATTGCTAGCCAGGCCACATTTGGGCAAATTGGCATCGGACCGATTTCACCGTCAAGTTGGCGAAGCAAAATGCTGAATCATCTCACTGGGTTAGTAAAAAATACTTATTTGAATGCCCCTGTTCTTAAGCGATTGTACGGTAATTTATTGGAAACGTGTTTGGAGAGATCACTTCGGAAGATGGAATGTAAGCATAGTTGATAGAATGCATCCATCCCAGTAAAATCTTCTGAGCGCACTGGTCATGCCCTAA